ATTTAAAGTGATAATAATTTCCTCACTTTCAACATTTCTTCATGGATTAAAAACGAAACAGTATGTTAAAAATTGAATACACTGGATCATTCACCCATTCCAAATGTTCGAAGAGAAAATAAACAATAAATAATGGATTTGTTTTGCACTATTTTGTCGACTTTAGACATAACTGACTGATCTTTTTCGCGAATTGACCTGACAATTGATTAGTTTAGAGTTGTCGAAAAAACGTTTGGATGTGAAACGAAAACAGATGAAATCCATGACGTCAAAATTTCTAAAGCCAATCTGAAATATTGTCATGTGTAGTTCCTCTACAACATTACAGCACAGGAAAAAGAAGTTTAACTTGGAATTTGAATATCCAAATGACACAGGCTGTTCAATTTATTCTAGTTATTTGATCGTTTTGATAATTCGAGAATCGGAATATTGCATTCGAGTATTCTAATAAATATCATACATTTGCTAGTCACACACCTCTTGCAGCTTTCATTCGGATTTTATAAAATTCGGGACGCTAGTGTCCAGGAAAGCGGAGAAGTTTTCAGAATGATGGAGATATTCTGTCTGGGTTGTTTTTTTAGGTCGAACATTGCATGAAAATTGGATTTTAAGCCCTAGCGATTAGTTATGCAGAGGAATGGTCGAGGATCTGCGGTAGAGATACAGTCGATTCAAGTGGAAGTTTTATATGAATATGATATCGCCTAACGGTCACAATGGGAGGAATTGAGTTGATCACCTGCGAAGATTTTTATGAATGATGGCTCCTCCACGATATTGAAAGGCATAAAAGTTTGAAGAACACAATTACAGATGTTAGCATTAAAAACTGACTGCACGAAATGACATGTCACTCTGTTTTCTTGTCGAGAAGTATCTTCCACGCGCATCTTCTTAGCTGCACAATAGATTTCAAACTCACTCAGCCTCTTCTTATGACATAACTGTAAATATTCAAGAGTTTTACAACAACTTAGTGCTTCATCCTTGAGATGTTAACTGGCGTGGAATATAAAATTAATGGTGTTCTACTTTTGTTCTACAAATATGACGAAACGTTTCATTTTCAAAAATGAAGAATTAAATCACATTATCTCACCTTCACGTGCGTTTTATAGTTTGACATACTGCTCACTGAACCTTTAATTTTTGTGGCCTTACTGTGTTCATTATAACACACTTGGCACATAGCGAAGACACCCACTTCGAATGAAGATTCTTCCATTATGGGTTTGAACCAGGTACCGTCAAGGTACGGGCGTCTTGCACAAGCATCAATCAAACTAGGTTTTTCAATCCCATTTTCAGTTGATTTCGTTTCATTTAAATCCATATCTTCTCTCATTTTTTCAATTTTTTCCCCGATAGTCCAATTTTCTTCGTCAGATGCGGCTATAGAGCTTCTTGACATATTGGAGGTCTCATCATCATCGAGAACACTCCGTTTGACATTATTGGATGCCATCCTGTCTATGAAAAAAAATGAAATAAGTAACCAAACCGTCAGTTAAGAAAAAATTTAAATTTAGATGTTCGATGGATTAATTTTAGCAGGGGAGTATCTCAAATTTATCTCAGGAACCAAAAATGATAATTTATCCTGGGGGTTAATACGTGTTAACTCAAATGGGGCCACCTGATGAATAAAAAATTTTTCATTGGGTCAAATATCAAGAAATTATAACCCCAGGAATATGATTTATCCTGAGGCTAAATTTTGTCCTGGAGTTTATTTGGTTATCAGGGCTCTGTGCAACCGGGCCATAGTATATTTAAAAATTTGTATAATTAAGGGCCGGTTGCGACAACTACTCGGCCAACTACTTGTAACCAAACCATCAGTTAAAAAAAATTTAAATATACATGTTCGATGGATTAATTTTACCGGGAGAGTATCTCAAATTTATCCCAGGGACAAAAAATAATAATTTATCCTGGGGTTAAATGCGTGTTAACTCAAATGGGGTGACCTGATGAGTAAAAAATTATTGATTGGGTTAAATATCAAGGAATTATAATCCCTAGGATAAAATTTGACCTAATCAAACATAAAATCTACAAAACTTTAAACACATGTCAAAACTTTAAACGCATGTCGATTCTTTATTTTTTATAAATAATTTTTTCATTTAGTGATACTTTTTTCCTTAATTATAAGATATATTTTCATTTGATTTTTTATTTTATGAAAATATTCAAATTAATTATTTAAAAATTAAATTTTGAAACAATAACGGCGCTTTTCTTTGCTGTGAGCTTTCGCAAATATCGCATCCGTGTTTCTTCGGAATGAATTATTTTTGTTAAATATTTTGACGTGTTTCTTGGGAAATCGATGAATCTCAAACTTCTTACCTCCCCGCGCCTGGTAGGGTCCACTTGTTTCAAGAAAATTTCAATTGTCAGGAAACACGTCAAAATATTAAGCAAAAATAATCCATTCCGAAGAAAAATAAATGTAATATTTGCGACAACTCAGAGCAAAGAAAGCGCCATAATATATAATCATTCAATTCAAGTATTTATTTTAGTTAATTATCTATTAAAAATATATTCCTTTATATATTATATTGTCAATTCTCTATATCAAGTTAATATTTCATTAATGTTATTTGAACATATTTTAAAAATTATAAATAAGAAAAAATTATAATTAATATTCAAATTAAAATTTCATTTAAATTAAATAATTTAAATGAAAGTTAAATAAATAAACTTTATTTATTATATTATAATAATTCGTTATCCAGGCACTTCATTATTTTATGAAAATGATTTTTCTCTATTGTTACGTCCCAAATGGATTACTCTTTTATTTTCACTGAGTTAAGAATTGATCTGGATTTAGAAGAAAAGATTTAACCCTTCTGGTCGATAACTCCAGGTGTTGAGGGAAGCTATTCCTTTAGGTAGGTTCTTTCCAATCGACTACTGCGCGTAGCTGACCAATCAAACACGATTAGGACACAATTGTTTAATTTAACAATATTTATTCAATAACAAATAACACTTGGGTTTATTACACTGTTCACTATTGTAGTCTTTGAATCTTATGATTTAAGTTTCACTTGATATTTTAAATGTTTTTTTTTTTCTTCAATTTTGGTTATTTCAGTTGACTTCGATTATTTTAATAACACTGTGATTTGAGTCCCGAACACCTTGAATTAGGAAATAGGATTTCGGAGTTAGAATATTCACCGGGACTTGACTTGAACTAGAAGTTTAACTTAGTGTTTTGAATAAGATCGGAAGAGGTAGTTATTTCTACTTTCCACTTTGAAGTTGTAGATTGAAGTGATTTCTCTAAGGAAGGATTTGGATATCTAAGGGTTTCTTAGTGATCACGCGTGGGCGTTCACGCTCTAGTTTCAGAGGGTAGGATTGGTTGATTAGGGATGCTGGAGAGGATAGAGGCGAGCCGGTTGGTTTTTGGGTCAAGCGGGGAGCCTCGATAGTTATGATTGGATTTTTGGACATTAAGGGTGCAGCTGCGTTTTGACTCTTAAGAAAATTCTGTTCTCACGGAACGTTAGAATTGGAAAATGTCACTTGACACTTATGACTTTCAGATTTTTAGAGTTCGCCGTGTTCGGTTTACAATTTCAGGATGAAAATACTTATCTTACATATTTATTTCGACTTTTATGATTTTTTGAAAAGTTTATGATGCACGTGTGCATCNGTCTTATGATTTTTGAAAAGTTTATGATGCACGTGTGCATCCATCTGTTTTTCGGTTTCGTTTATCACGTGGGAATGGTATTTTTAATGTTTCTCAAGAAAAAATGTGGTCTGGACACTTGAGTGTTATTTCTTAAATGTAATTAATAATTTTCTTATTTTATTGGATTGGAAAAAATGATATTTGAATATTGGGCCTTATATACTAATTGCTGGTAAGACTCGACAGTCGATAAAGTAAAGTTAAAAATTTAGTATAGCGCCATCAGGTGGCCAAGGTAGGGACGTAACACTATATTGAGAGTATGAAACAAAAAGCGTAATTATTTAGCTTGTCTTTCAAGAAAATTTCTTCAAAATTATGATTTTTATTCCCTTCTATCGTTTGGAGGAAAGACGAATTCTGGAAATTGTTTGATCACGTATAACGAAGTAGAGAAGTATTGGTACTTACCTTACAACTGGACTTGAAATATCTAAATCACTCTAGTGAGTTGGATCAGTTGAGAAGACACTCGTTGATTTGTAATCAAAAATCGCAAATAACCGGCGAATTGAACTCCAGCAATATCGTGCGCCGACTGAACATCGATAGAAACACGAGGAATGAGTTGGTAACTAGAATTATTTCGAAGAATCGCTTGGAATACTGTTTCCTTTAAATTGAAGGAAACAATACTGATGAATAAGTATCAGTATATTTCTTTGTGTATGTGTGTACAGAAGGATAACAAAATCGACCGTCGTTAATCCTGGATCCACCATCTCTTGCGAAACCCCCCTTAACTAGTCATGCCCTTCCCCCTACTCTCGTCAATCAACAGTCACTCGATAAATATTTGTATACCGCGCTGAAAATTGTATGAATACTTTTCTACGGATTATCAAACTACTCGGCAATCATGCGCGCTTTCGCGTGAACGCTCAGATTGATTCAAAATCTCGGTCAATATTGCTACTCTGAATGGGGTAAAGTAATTTCGATGTTATCTGAATCAAAATTTTCCAAGTTAGAAAAATTTGCAATTCTGGAAAATAAGGAGTTCATTACAGGAATGCGGAATTTAAGTTAATCCCCTAAAGATGAATATGCAAAATATAAAATATGTAAGAACCTTAAAGAATGTTAATTTCGCAGAAACCAATAGACACCCATCTTATTTTTGTATATTCCTTCGAGATTAATTAATATGAATATGAATGAAAACAGAGTTTATCGTTTTGTGTTCCTTTATTCAACAATACAAATAAAACCTGACGAATTCGCGGAAAATCTGCGAAAGTGGAATTTTTTATGCTGTTTTTTTAATTATTATTAGTATACTGTGCGATAAATGGGGAAAGAAAATAGCACTGGTCTAATTTTTTTTTAGTTTGAAGTTAATTCGTATGATATGTTGACAGTCGATCGAAACCTATTCTCATTTATCAAGTATTTCCAAGTTTCGCAAAAGTTAGAGACGAGGAAAGTAGAGACACTTTCGAGGACGAAGCCGCCTAGGACGTGTCTGTGGAATGGGTCTTACATCAGCATTTCTGGTTCCACGGACACTCGACTGATCATGACCGGGCTGAAGGTGTACGTTGTTGTCCTGGTAGAGAAACGTTATATCTCTGAGAGGGATTCGTGCGCAATGTCCTCCCTGTTCTGAAATTTGATCCTCTTCAGGAGTAGTCTCATCTATGACTTGGTGTGACCTGTCAACGTCTTCACGCAGAGCTCTACTGGCAGCGAGAAGTTCGTCGATTTCTGATAAGAAATTGGTGAGACTCGCGTAACCCACGCCCTGTTCAGAATTAAATGCATCCTCAATTAGGGAAAACACATCTTGATTGAGCAAAAATCTTTTCAAAGAAATTTTGGTTGTGTATTCGACATGCTCTTTCGCGAAATCAATCGCATGGATTTTGAACGAACTCAATTTTTTCTATTGAATAAAAAATGATTTATATTTTTAAAAACATTTTTTTTCCGTACACTCTTTCTTTTTTTTCAATTTTACTATTATTACTAATGAATCAACAGTTCAAACCTAATTGGTAATTTTAAAAGATAAGAATTACTTACATTTTCCATTCTCGAAACCATTGTATTTTGCTATGAACAAATTCTCAACAAAAGTTGAACGACACTTAGGCTCTGGCACTCGGTGTTCACTGTTTCACCATTGATATGGGAATGATATTACGAGTATTACAAGGATGTTGATCACAATTAGTTTGTTGACATTCCACGGATATGATACAGCCAAAAAGCGATTTCATATATTAGAAACGAATTTCTAGATTCGCGAAATCTCTTTCTCAACTTTCATCCTTCGTTTGGAAAATACGAACCAAGAAATTTTACAAACAAACAAACATACAAACTTTTTTTAAATAAAAAAAAAAAAATCTTGCATGCAGTTTTTTTTTTAGTTAAGCATTAGAGACCTCAACTCGAGGTATATTAGCTGTTCTTGTATGCAGTGTTGTCAATGAAATACTCTCAAGCTGCTTCCTCATGACTTTCAAAATAATTAAGTCTAATCACTCATGAAAAAATCCTATAAGAAATCTTATAGAGAATTCAGGCATCTCCTATAGGATTCCTGAGATGAATTTTCTACAGGAATTTTTATAGGATGTTATGTCTGGTTTTCCTATTGAACCCCCTATGAGATTTGTCGACAATAAAGTTCGAATTTTCTTTCAACGAAAAATCAATTCAACAAAAATCTCCAACGCATTTTTCTTCAAAATTGTTTTCTAAATATGATCCCAAAATTTCATCTGTTTATCTCAAAAAATGCGGAAGAAGATAGATTTTGAAGCTCGGTGGTCAAACGAGAAAATTCGTAATTTGGAATATTTCAATAATATTCTTAAATATTCTCATGAGTATTGATTGATATATGAAGAGACATTTCTGAAAAACAATGAAACCGCGCACAAAAAAATTATATATGTCAAGATATATTTTCGAAATATATGTGACATAATATAAACTCGACGAATATATTTAGCATATGTCTCAATTATAAAATGATATATTCGAAACATATGAGACATATTTTTTTGACATATATAAGCATCAGGCAAAAATGACGTTTGTCACATATGAGGCATTCTTTGTCAAGTGGGCCATCCATTTCCTTCATGTCACAAAATTAATTTCATTTTTCTCTCAAGCAATTATCATATTTTTTTTAATCTTTCTGAATTTTTTCAGTTTTTTGGCATTGATAGATGCCTAGGTGTACATAATTCGACTTTCTTTCCAATTTCACGTATCTTTAAGTAATTCATAGAGGGAGTAAAAATTAAAAATACATAAAAAATTGCATTTTTTCTCAGCTTTCTTATAATAGTACATTTCGTAACAAGTGCCGAAAAGTAATTTTTGGTGCGTGGGAGGCTTATAGCACGAGCCGAAGGCGAGTGGTATAATCCCAAAAGCCAAAAAACACTTTCTGCACGTGTTGCGAACAATATTTTTCGTCACAATGTGCGGGAAAGTCACTTTTTAGGCACGCGAAGCGAAGCGGAACGAAGCGGAGCGTGGCTGAAAAGTTACTTTTCGGCACATCGTGATGAAAAAATATTTTCATATCTCAAAAAGTAGAAATAAATATCAAAATCGCGAAAAAATACAAAAAGTTCTAGGAAAATGCAATTTACGTCAATGGGGCCAGTTTGATTTTGAGGAAGAAATTCAAGAATTATCCATTTATCGCCTATAGCTTACTATAAAATTTTCATCGTGGGACAGCCATTGCTTCCTAGGAGAAAAAATCAAATGGCTGCCAATTGAGTCATTTTCTTTTTTCTCACAATGTACAATGATCAGGAAGTCTTTTTTTGTGTACTTAGTGATCACTCAGGAAACCTTCGGTATTGTAAGAAAAAGAAAAATAACCTTCTTAACGATCCTTTGATTTTTTTTCCCCTAGGAATAAATGTCTGGCCCATGATGAAAATTTTACAGCATACTATAGATAATAAATGTATAATTCTTGAATTTTTTCATCGAAATCAAACTGGCCTCATTAGCGTAATTTGCGTTTTTCTACAATTTTTTGTTTTTTTGCGATTTTGACATTTATTTCTACTTTTTGAAATATGAAAATATTTTTATAAGAAAGCTGAGAAGAAATGCAATTTTTTATATATTTTCACCGTTTATCCCCTCTTTGAATTGTTGAAAGATACATGAAATCAGAAAGCAAATCGAATTCACTTATTATTCACTCATTATTTCTCCTTAGACGGCTGAACTTTAAAATCTATTTTCTGAATTTTGTTAAATAAAAAAACGAACTTTTGGGATCATATGTAAAAAATAATTTTTAAGAAAAATACTTCGGAGATTTTTGTTAAGTTGATTTTTCGTTGAAAAAAAAAATTGAAAACTTCATTTTGTAAGACTCGGACAACCTTTTACCTGCAACATCGGATTCCTGAGGAAAAATATCGCCGGAAATGCTATTTTTAATTTTTTTTCCGGAAAAATGAAAAAGTTTTTTCTCCGGGATGAACCTTTCCTTAAATTAATTAATTCGAAAATATAGATGCGATTAAAAAACGATAAAATAAAGTGACCCAAAATTATCTAATCGTGTCACGCCCCTTCGCTCGTAGTGATTAATAGAGTAATTGCGAAATTTTTACTTCTGAATGTCGAACAATTTTATAACTAAAACTTGGGTCATTGTGATTATTAATTAAAGTAGACTAGACAAAATCTCTGAAGGCTGGTTGATGATTAATGAATTAATTGAAAATTTTGCAGTCCTAAATATTCATTAATTATTTAACCAAAAATTTTTTCGTTGCCGTTGATGATTGATCTGAATCCGGCTAACCATTAGAATGTCGATTAAAAATGAATAAATTAACGAAAAACTTCACGCGAGTAGTTACCGATCAACATATATTTCCAAAATTTCTAGTAAGATTATCCATTACTCAATCAATCGGAATGCTAGTACCTACTGATATCGAATAGTTTATTATTCAATCGTAACTTTTTAAGGTTATTGATTGTCCCAATAATTATTATTTCACGGGTTTGATTGATGGTTAATATGATAATCAATTAACGTTAACGAAATGTTAATGATATGGGTATCCCTGCCTATATTATATGGTAAAACGTGAAAAAGTCATAAAATGTCACGAATATAAAAGATAATAATCACTAAACTATATCATGATAATGATGAGTATAATGAGATAGAAATTTCAAGTGGGATATATATTTATATTTAACGTATTTGGTTTCGACGCTATTTCAATAATTACAAGGTATTTTCTTATAATGTTGGATTCTTTCCTATTAATAATCATCAATATACCTAGATTAATCATATCGAATATCGTAAGGATCATATTTAACAATAACATATTTACATCAGTATTTTAATTTCAGAATATACATATCTACAGAATAGTGGGATTTTTTGCCACAAATTTTACCTAATCATTGGAAGAATTTTTGGCATTACGGTGCTATAAAAATTATTAAAAAATTCAAATGTGAGTAATTAAACTCAACAACTTTGCGTGAGAATTTAGACCCAACGTTTCGGAACGTATTGCTCTCCATTCCCGGAGGTAGCTATATACGATAGGATACAAAATTTCATTTGTCGAAATGTCAATGTCAATGCCTTTTATCATTTATATCAATTTTATAGGATTGGAAATGTCTTTCAAAGGAGTATTCTTGTAATTGTTGAGTAACAAGAATAACTTGATTATTTGGCTCTAGGATTACGATATTGATCAAATGTAATTGAGGACCAGCCTCGGTCGGCATCATCAATATTACGTTTTTCCTGATATCATGTCCCAAATAATTGAGAGCTTACTATTGTAATATCTCCAGATCGATTGGACGGGAGAACTGGCAGAAAATGGCGATAATTTGGATTTAATTCTAATCTCTTGTTAAGAGCTGGACCAGAGAGAAAAGGTGGTGGTAAAGACTTGTTGATGAGTAACCGATAATTCAATTTTAATTGTGCCTTGATGGCTATTTTTAGTATTCTCTACGATATCGAGAAAAGGAGAGATTACTATGTATAAATAGTACTGATTACCATGTACATGGTAATCTCTCCTATAATAATGGTTGTCGTTGCTATATTGTATAGTAATGCCCACCATGTTCGAATGGTATTGATTACTATACAACATAGTACGCTTTACTGTTGAACATAGTAAAAATTACTATTGAGATTGACTTAGAAACTCTTTTACCATAATTTATGGTAACCTCTACCATACAAAAGTAACCCCTACCATTCACTTTTCTCCATGCACATGACCTTCCAACCGTACCAGTGGGCCCAATAACCCCACGAAATGCGTAAGCTGGAGAGCGTGAGCATTTCAACTCAACCTCGATGATCAGCAACTAACACTCAACGGAACTAACGAGATCTCACCGGGAGGCTCAGTCTATCGGCCACGAACGCCGGTGGAGACTCGTTCCACTCAGAATTCGCGAAACTAAAGAAAATATAAATCGAAACGGTAAATACAACTGACTGTAAATTTACCCTAAACCATAATAACCCTAACCGTAAATCCCTCAATTCGAAACTAAACCGGAAGTGAACTCGAAATCTCAAGAATTTAATTATATACTTTTAATTCGACTGAATATTTTACGTTTAATCATTTTTAACATGGATCGACACTTTTTATATATTTAATTTTAAAGAATTGAAAGTTATTTTCCCACAGACGTTGATGTTCTGATGTTCTGATGACCGATATCCAAAGCTCGAGCTAAAATTTAGGGATGTTGCGCCTACCTTCTTTATCTCCCTTCGATAGGGGTGCCAACCTTCAGGGGGGATATGACGCGATTCTCTCTCCTAACAATATTCACTCACCCCTTTTACTCTCTCTCCTTACAATCCTTTCTATCGAAAATCCGCATTTTTCCAATTCTGCGGTGAACTCTCGTACAGGTGGCGGAATTTCTAAAATTATGATAGTGGACGAGTTAGGGGTTCACCATGGGCCGTTTGATACCTTGTTATAAAAGAGAAGTGGGAAATTCATGGGCGAGTTGAAAGTAATATTCGAAAGGAAGATATTCATCATGATTTCTTGATGATGAAAATTTTTTCTTTTTTTTCGGATGCAATAAAATTCAGAATTTTCGAGCAGAAGAAAAATAAGAATTTCTCGCATTTCTACGATTTTCAACGACAATGTGAATATTACGTTACAAATTTCGGTTAATTTCCAATTAATAACGAATTTCACAATAGGTAAATGAAAATGCATTTCTTCTAGTTATTTACATAGACTAATGGACAGAAAATTCACAGCTTTCAATTGATTTTA